GATAATATACTATAATACATATTTTTATATATAAATTGTATATATTAATTTTTTTAATTTTATTTATTTTATTAATATTAAATTATATAAACTATAATAAATTATATTATATATTTTTTATAGTTTTCTTTTTTATTATTCGAATTTTTAGTATATTTAAAAAAAATAATGAACTGAAAACATATTTATTATATTAATATTAAAAGAGTGTAATTTTTTTTTATTATTAAATTTATTTTATATATTTAATTTTTATAATTTAAAATAAATATTATTATATAAATAAAAATATAAAATTATTTGATAATTATTATTTATATCATCTTTTTATACTATAAATATCATTTATAAATGAGTTTTAATCATTAAATTTATTATATTAATATTCAAGTTAAAGTTCATCCTCACATAAAAATTTTTGTATTTTTTTTCTTCTCTTTCTGTTCTTTAAGAAGGTGCTCCAGGATGAGATTTAGCTTTATGTCCACCGAGCTATTCCTTTTTAAAAACTTTTTTTGACAAATTGTGCATAAATATTGCTTTTAGCCGTTTAAAAATAATACTGAAGGAAGTATTTTTTTCTGTTTTTTTATTTTTTTAGTCATTTTAGAATCGTTGGATGGTAATTAATTATGAGAAAAATAAGAATTTTGCTATGAAAATTATGTGAAGGTATTATGAAATAGATCTTATTAATATTCAAATATTTATTAATCAAAAAAATATTAGCAATAATAAATTTATTTTGAATTTTATTTATAATTATTATTTAGGTGATTTTAGTTTAAGGAAAAATAATCCATTTTATTTTTTAAATTTAAAAGATTATTAAATATATATTGACATTAATATAAAATATTTTATTTTAAAAAAAAATAATTCAGATACTTCTTGAAAAAGTATCTAATTTTTGATTAATTTTTTATTATAAAATAATAACATTATTGATTAAATTTTTTTAAATTTTGAAAATTAATTAAAATATTAAAATAAATAAAATATATATAATGCAAAAAAATATAATAAATTACTATAAAAATAATAAAAAAACATGAATAAAATATATATAAATGTATAAATATATAAATATATAAATATATAATTATATTTATATTTATATATTTTTATTTTTTTTTATTTATATTTATTTTTTACATATTTTAATAAATAATTATTTATATTATTAATATTGTATTTAAAAAAAAAAAAAAAAATACTTTTATTGAAATTCTTTAATATAAAAATATTTAAAATAACTATATATTTTTTTTATATCATTTTATTTTTTATTTTTATATATACATAATTTTTTTTTTTTTTACAATATTAATTTTTATATTTTTTTATTATATAAATAATATTTGTTTATATGTTTTTAAAATTTTTTTTATTAACTTAATAAATTATATACAATATTTATATTTATTTTTCTTCTTTTACATTTAATTATTTTATATTTTTTTTTGTTAAAATGATTATATAAAAAGCAAATATATCTTCAAAGATTTTATAAAAAAATGATTCTAAATTTAAAAGTTCATTGGTAAGAAATTAAAAATAAAGTTAGAATAATAAAATTCAAGAAAGTTAAGATTCTTTTAATCATAATTAGTATGAAAACCTAATTTCTTCTCAATTAAGTATTGCATAAAATATTTAATTAAATCAATATGAAAATCTAAATACTTTTAGAAATAAGATTTCACCAACAGACATATAAAATTAAAAAAATTTAGGAGATCATTAAATATAAGAATTATAAATGAAAAGTAATAAAAATTAACATAATGAAATTAAGAATTAAATTGAAATAAAATAGTAATAAATAAATTTGGAAATATTAAATATAGGATAAAATAATTTAAACTAATTAATTAATAAATTACCATTTAAAAGATTTTAAAAATAATAAAAACCATAAAAATATGATTAGAATGAAAAAAAAAATTAAAAAAAGGAATAATAAAAAACGTAAACTTAAAATGTAGATTATAATATAGCTTTAAAAAAGAATTAAAAATTAGTTAAAAAAGAATAAAATGTATTTTTATAAAAATATTTTATTTTTTATTTCAATTTATTGGATAAAATAAATAAAAATTTTCAAGATTTTTTAAAAATAAGATTAATTTAAAATAACAAAAAACATGAAAAGTAATTTTTTAGACGATTTTATAAGTAGAATAAAATATTTTACTTACAGTACTAATGATTTAGATGAAAACTAAGGATAATTATTTCTTGATGTACAATAAAAATTAATTAATAGAAGCATTAATTCTGATGTTGAAAACTTTTTAAAAGACATTGAAAATTAAGATTATTTGACTCTATATAATAAATAATAAGAAGATTAATAAAACTAAAATTTATTGAATTAAAAAAATTATTAATAAGAATCAGAATAAGAGAATTTAGGAGATTAAGAAAAAACAGAATAATAAAATTAAAAATTATTTGAATTAAATAAATAATAATGTAAAAGTTAAAATTCAGAACTAAAAACATCAAAAAAATTATAAGTATTTTATATTTTTAAAAACAAATTTAATGTATTTTTTTTTTATAAGTAAATGTATGATTTTGTTAATTATATTAATTTAGAAGATTAAGATTTACTAAAAAATAATGAAAAAGAAAATAATAAAATAGAAAATCGAAAATATTATAATAAACCTGAAATAGATCTTTAATATATTTAATAAAAAGTTAAATAAAAAATAGATGAATAAGAAAAAAAATAAAAAAGTAAACAAAAAAATTAAAAAATAGTAAAACAATATAATTCTGTTTACAAAAACTATCTGTAATTAACAGAGGAATTTTTAAGTTCATTTAAGAAATGATTTTTTTTTAAAAAAAAAAACTATTTTAATCTAATGTTAAACAAATAAAATAATAAATTATTAATATATTAATTTTTCTTTTGTTTAAAAAAAATATTTTTTAAATTTAAAAGATAGTCTTTATAATATTTAAATATATTCTTTTTAAAAAAATAACATTAGTATTTTTATAATTTTATTGTAATAAGTTAATATTTTTTTCTTTAATAAATGTAAAAACAAATGTATAATATTGTCTATGCAATAAAACTGAAAAAATTAATTGATAATATTTCATGTTTAAAAAAATAAAGAAATTAATTCTAAAGATTTAAATTACCCATTATATACTTTAAACATTTTAATTTAAATCATATTTACATCACTTTCTAACATTTTTATTATTTTTTTATAATATTTTTTTAAACACAATAATTAAAAAAAAATGATTATAGCATCTTTTTTATTTTATTGAGTTTTTTTTAAAAATATTAAAAAAAAAAAAAAATTAAATATTTTCAATTTTAACTATTAATTTGTTATTGTAATAAAAATAATTTTTTTAAGTATCTAATTTCAATTTCATGATTTTCTAACATTTTTCAAGATTTTATTTTAAATACAAAAAAAAATTCGAAATTATAAAGTTTAATAAAAATGGCATAAAGTCAATAAATATTTTAAATTTAGAGATAGAAATAATTTTAAAATAAAAATATATGGATAGGTTAAATAAATTAAAAGTTCAATAATATCTAATACACAATTTGTATTTGAACTATTAAATTGCGTAAATTAAAAAGTTCTAGTATCTTTAAATAAAAATACCGTCAATATATTGAATAAAAATAATAAAAAATTGCTGAATTGTAAATTTAAGAAACAGAAATACAGTAAATTATCAAAGTTAATCTTACAAAAAATTAATTATTAAAAAATTTTTAAATATTTAAAAATAGTTTTAATTTTAAAAATGATGATACTCAAATTAAAATATAATTAAAAACAAATATATTTTAAAAATAATTAAAAATTAGAATTTATAAACTTAACTATTTTTTTTTTGAAAATGAGAAATAAAACCAGAGGAGAATCTAAAATATAGTATCCTATATATATTTTTTTTTTTTACAATATATTTAAAATTAATTAATTTTTTAAAATTTGAGAAAAAAATTCTAGATAAAACTTCTATTTTAATAAATATAAAATAAATTATATATTAAAAGTAAAAATATTTAAATTAACATTGTTGTACTTAAAAAAAAAAATTAAGTTTTTATCAATTTTTTGAAAATCGAAGGAAAAAAAGTAATAATAAATAGATTTAAATTAATTATCTAATAATTATAAAGAAAATAATAATAATAATCTATTTATTTAAAAAAAAATATATATAAATAATTATCATACTAAAGATACAAAAATAAAAAAAAATTGATAATAATAAAACAAACAAAAGATATTAAAGTAAAATACAAATAATTAGAAAGTTTTTTTAAAAAAATATATAGTGATTAATAATAATTATATTTATTATTAAAATAAAAACATTTTTGTCAAATTATTATTATTTATTTTTTGCTAATTATATAAATAACATATATAATATATGCAAAAACATTTATTCTTTTTTTTTCTATTATATTTATATATAATATTTGTTAATTTTGTATTAGGTATATATTTTTTATGTATTTAATTTTTTTAAATTTTTATTATTAATGGAGCGATAATAAGATATATCAACAAATAGATAAAGAAAAAGCTTTTTATAACAATTTAGAAGCGCGTTAGGATTATATTTATATTAATATCTTCCTCTAAATACTTTTATCACAGGATCATTTGCTATTAATTATTTATCTAAAAAAGTTTTATTTAAAAAAAATATAATTATTACATTATTTTTATTTAAATTATATATATAAAGCTTAGATTTGGTAATAAAGGTATAGCAGCATTTTTTGTTATGAATTAATTCTTTTAATAATTTGCTAGAAAATCAGATACATATCAGAAAATTTTTCAATATTTAGCACCTCATAAATATTTTAAAGGTTTTAATGTGCATTATGAAAGTCCTTTAGAAAAAGAAAAAATATTATTGCCAGTTTATTTTATTATTATTTTTTTTATAATATTTTTTTAATAAAGGTTCATCCACATAGTATTATGGCAATGGCTCTTTTATTAAATATGTATAGAAAAGAAGAACCTTTAAGTCAAGTAGTTTTTTGTGGATCACGAGTTGCTTTGCAAATGCCTTTGGCTGGGTATTTAATAAGATGGTCAGGATTAGTATCTGCTGATCCACAAAGTTTCTAAAGTTACATGTAAAAGGGAAAAAACATATGCTTTATTCCAGGAGGATATGAAGAAGTAATTTTAATATATACTACAAAAAAAATAAAAATTATTCATTCCATAAATTTTATTAAATACTGATTTAATAATAAAAAAAATGATATTAACTAATTATTTTTTAATTTAATTTTTTTTTTTATGCATTACAAAAATATAAAAGATTTTTTTAATTTGTAATGCAAAAAAAAAAAATCAATTTAAATATGTTTAGTAAAATAGTTTTTTTTTTTAAAATTAAGTTTTTGAAAAAAATTAATATTTTTTTTTATATGAACAACTAATATTTCCAAATTAATAAATTTTAAAAAGGCTAGTTTAACTTCTTAAAATTAATATAATTATTATTTAGAACATAAAGGCTTCATAAAATATGCAATGAAATATGGCTACAAGATTAGACCTTGTGTAGCTTATAATGAAAATAAAGCTTATTAAACAATAGATAAGTTTTATAAATTCAGACTTTTATTAAATAAATTTAAATTCGTAGGAACTTTATTTTATTCTAAATATTTTTTAATTTTGTCTAATCCTAATATTAATATTGAAATGGTTGTTGCAAAACCTTTTGAAGTTCCATAAATTGAAAATCCGACTAAAGAATAAATTGAAGAATGGCATAAAAAATATATAGAATATGTAACTCAAATTTTTTATAAATATAAAAACTAATTTGATTCTAAAGGAGGAGATTTATATGGATATTAAAATGAATAATTAAAATAACTAAAACCAAAGTTATGATTATATATTAAAAAATATATTTATATTTTAATTTTTATAAAGTAAAAGTTAATAAAGTCTTATTTTTATTTTTGTTTTTTTATTTTTATTTTTGTTTTTTTATTTTTATTTTTGTTTTTTTTATTTTTATTTTTTTTATTTTTATTTTTATTTTTTTTATTTTTATTTTCTATTAAAACTTTATTTAATATGTTTATATATAAATTATTAAAATATTTTAATAAATGCATTTTTATTTTAAATTAATAAAAAATATTTTTCTTTATAAAGTGAAATATTTTTCTATTCTATTTAAGAAGTTATATACTTAAATTTTTTAATAGTTATATTAAATATATAAAAAAAATTAAAATTTTTGTATTTTAATTAAATATTCATATAAAATGAATTTAATTACAAAAATAATATATTTTATCTTGATATATATTTAATTAAATAATTTATAAATTATAAAGTTGATAAATATAATTGACTTTCAAACTATTTATGAAAAGTATGAGAAGTAGTAAATAAAGTTAAAACAAAGATTTAATTCTTAGCAATAAATTATCAGTTTCAAATTTAGAATATTGTAGGATATGCCATTAAATATAATAAGAGGATGACCCATTTATCAATAAATTTTGCTATTGTACAGGATCACTAAAAAATATTCATAGTTAATGTTTTTTGTTTTTAATTAATAAAGAACTGTAAAACGTAAATAAATTAAAGTTTAAAAGTTTTTAAATAAAAAAAAGATGTAATGCCTGCTTTTTCGAATATTAAATATATGGTAAATAGAAATATATTATAAATTAAATGATATTTACAAATTAAAATAAACGTTATATAATTCTTACAATTATATCGTTATTAATGATTATATTGATAATAATTTTAATTATTTTTGATTTTTTTTTGGAAAAAAATACATTTAATTATTATATAATACAAATGAGTTTATTATGTACATCAATATTTATAATAGTATTAATTATTTTTGGATTATTTTTTATATTTTTTAATTATTTAATTGTATATAAATTATATTATATTGAATTAAGAAGTATAATTTAAAAAGATAAAAACTATTTTGAATTAAATAAAAACATTCTTGTTTATAGAAAAAATAATAATAAAAATTAAAATAAAAATAATAATAAAAATAATAATAAAGATAATAATAATAATAATAATAATTATAATAATAATAATAATAATAATATTAATAATAATAAATAATTATAATTATAACTATAATAATTTTTTCATATATCCATTTAAAAAAATTAAGTAATTAATTTTACAATTAATCATTAGAATTAAACTTCTTTTTAATAAATTATGAATTCTTAATAATAAAACAATATAAGTTAAATTTATAAAATTAATAATTTTTATAATAAATTATAATTTATAATTTGCTAAAATAATTAATAAAATCCTGAAGAAATGTTTTAAATTTAATATAATAATTTTGAATAAAATAAATGAATTATATAATAATACATGTAAAATATTTAAAAAATAAAAATCGAAATATATATTTATCTTAAAAACAAATATATTTTTATTTATTTATAATTATTATATATATTAATAATATTTATAATATTAATTTTTTTTTTATTAAATATATGCTATCAGTTTTTTTTTTAATAAATTTTTCTTTCATTTAAATTATTTTTTATATTAAAAATTTAATTTTACTTTGTCATTATTGTTTATTCATAATTTTTTTACAGCTTCATATTAAAAAATGTGATTTAGTTAAAAGTTTTAAGTATTTTTTTATTTTAAGATTTTTATTTATATTATTTTTTAGTTAAAGTTAAATTATTAATTTATTAATATTATGAGTTTTAATAATTTTTTTATTTTTAATATTACAAATGATCTTCAATTTTATTTATTTTATTATTTTCTAATATATTATATTTTATTTATATATTTTTTTAATGTATATTTTTTTTTCCTTTTAAGTCTATTAATACAGTATTTTTTATTTAATTTACATCTTATTTTTGTAATCTTTCTAAATATGTATCATTAGTATTCTATATTAGCCACTTTTTTAAAATAAAATTTTAGGTTTTATCAAAATCTAGAGTCGTATAATTTTATATCAATTTCTTATATTTAATTGTAATTAAATTTTACAATATTTTATTATTAATTTTTAGAATAAAGTTTTTAAAAATATTAGATTTTATATATTTAATAAATTAATAGTCATATAATTATTCATTTCTTATACTAAATGATTTGCTTATTTTTACCTTTTTAATATCACTGGTAAAAGATCAGAAATAATTGATTTTTTTTATATATTAAATTAATTATTTTATTATTGAAAACTTAATTTCTTAGACTATTTTAATTTATCTTCATAATTTAAAATGTTTTTTTTTAAAAAAATTTATAATTATTTAAATTAAATTTTAATTATACAAAAAAACTTCTCTTTATACTATTTTTTATTTGCAATTTAAAAATTATTAAAATTTAAAATATTTTCTTTAATATAAATGAAATTTAATTTATCGTGAATACATAAAAAAAACATTATTTTAAATGACAATTCTTGGAAAAAATATATTAATATAAATAAAAAAAGTGATTAAACTTTATATAGTCATACAATTATTGTTTAAATTTAATAAGTATCAGAATGACAACGACTAAAATAATAAAACATTTTATTATTTATACTTAATAAAGTAATATATAATCTACTTGAAGAAACATGTAATATTAGTATTAGTAATAGATTAAAAAATCAGTTCATAATAATCAAAATTTAATTTTTTTAAGATATTCAATTTTGCATTAAGTTTAAAGAAACTAAAGTGAAGATTTTTTAAATCATTATTCATTAAAAATTTCACCTATTGTAAAAAATTATTTGCTCTGATGTTTTTTTTTATTTTTCTGTATTTTTTGTTAAACAAAAACTCAATATAAAAAGGGCATTTATCAAATTATTTATAGAGTTTTAAAAAAAATTAAAGAAAACTAAAAAAAAAAGCATTAGAAATGCAATATAAAAAATATAAAATGATAAATAAATTATTTAATTAATGAATGGAAATACAAAAATATAAATACAATCACAAAACTTTTAAATTAATAGTAAAAAAAATATAAATATTTAAAAATATAAGACTAAAATACAAAATTTAGTAAATTTTAAATTTAATAAAGATATAACACTTTTATAATAATATTTTAAAAGAAATTAATAATTGAAAAAAAAGAAAAAATAGATAAATTTTTATTTATATATATTTTTTATAATTTATTTATTATAAACTTTTTTTATTTTTTTTGAATTCTAATAATTTATATTTTACATTATTCTACTTTTTCTTTTTCTTATAATTTTTTTCAAATCTTAATTTCATTCATTAAATTTTCAATTTCTTATAAATTCTCATATTTATTATTATCTTTTTTATCATGATTTATTTATAGAGTTTAATAATTTAATTAAACTTTAACATCAGATGCAAATTTGCTCTATTAATTGTGATAATCAATATTTTATTTTTGAAACATCTTTTATTAGGAAAGCTATAAAAAAACAAATGTGATATAATTTATAAATAAACTATTATTTTTTACTATTGATTATCTAAATTCTTAAGCATTCTATATTTTTTTAATATATTATTATCGTCTTGTTTATTATGCAGTTGCAGGATTAATTAAGTCATATTACTTTAAAAAACATATATAAAAAACTAAATATATAATATTTTATTATAAAATAATAAAAAAATGTTTAATTTTTAAATTTTATATAAACTTTTTAATTATAATTACAATTAGTATTATATTATATTATATTATATTATATTATATTATATTATAATTATATTAATTTATTATTACCACTTTAAATCCTTATTCTACTTTATTAAAAGTTTCAACATTCGGTATTCCTTCTTTTATTTTAAACATTTTTTCATTGAAATATTACATAGGTAATAATGCATGAATAATTCCTATTATAATACCTGCAATTGCTATTTTCGGAGCTTGTGTTTTCTCATCTGAAATATAAAGGAAAAAAACTAAGTTAGATATACTAAATATAGGCAATATTATCTCAATCATTTCTGTCATTTCTATTGAAAGTTCTTGCCCTTATTAATATTTTATTGTTCTTCTGTTTAAAATATTATACTATTTTTTTTTTATAATTTTTCTTTAAAAATTTAAAATATTACCTTATCAATCCAATACTATAAGAATATAGTTATAAATGAATATAATATACAAATAGGTAAAATAGGTCCGTAAAAAGCTGTCATATACATCGTATTTATTAATGTACAATATCTAATTTCTATAGGATATATCGGATCCTCATATAATCTTTTAGCATTTTAAAATTTAAATATTTAAAAAAATAATTTATATTTTTTAAACTCATTTAATTATGATTAAGTTAAAATAGATTTTAAACCCTTTTTTCTTGTAATTTTCGTTTCAATTTTTTTACGTAATATCCAACATCTAAAGCTTAAGTTACAAATGATATTACCATATTCGAAATAAAAACATAATTTTAATTTTATGCTAACCCACCTTTTTAATTTAAAATAAATAAAACAAAAATTAATTTTGATTATTTATACCATTTCCAAATATTTTCAAGAATTTTGATTTATTATTATTAGTTATTACTATTTCAACTAAAAAAGTAATTAAAGAAGTATTACAAAACTAAGCTATTGATATTTTTTTAGCTTAACTAATATTAAATTTAGTAATAGTAATATGCCCTTCTTTTCTTAAAAAATTATATAATGTTAAAATAATAAATTTATAATTTTTTAAATTAAAAATACTTAGCAACTTCAACTAAAATAATCTTCAAAACTTCATTAAAAATACTAATTACTACAGAAATAGCAATACCAACTATTTAAACGATTGTTTAATTATCATTATTAGAACTAGTATTTAAAGATTTTTAAGCTGTAATAAGTCCATAAAGTAATCCAAAACAAGCTCCTAAAACTAAAAGTGAAAACAAAGTTCCTAAAAGATTTCTTTATGATCTTTGTTTATCTGACAGTTTTAAATTTTCCCAAAAAATATCAGTAGGTTAAGGAGCTTATTTAATTACAAGCTAATTCCCATGATAAACTAAAGGTTTAACTCCTTTTATTTTCATTTAAATAAAACTACAATCATATAAATCTATAATTTCTTCCTTTTCTTATTCTGTTTATAAACTTACAAAAGCCCATCCACTAAAGTATTTTTCCATAAATTATTTTCCCTTTCCATCTGCAAATTTAGCTTCTAAAGTTTCTTTATTTTTATCAGCAATATAAACTTCTTAATTTACTTTTTCTAATGACATACCTTGAGGATATTATCCTTTATTATAAAAATAAGATAATAATTTTTATTTTTTCAGAATTTTTTATCTCTTATATTTATGCAAAGTCTTCAATTCATCCAAATCATAACATAAATTAACTTTTACAATATTTAGCTTTTTTCCTCCTGGAAATGCATTTTTTTCCAAAAAATCTTTTAAATCATCGTCATAATCATCATTCAATGCATTTTCAATTTTTTTTGGGATATTATTTATCATAATTGTATAATCATTTACAGAAATATCCGCAACATCACATTCTACATCTGTTTTTCTTTGAACATATCGAAAATATTATAAAAGAATTATTATTATAAATATTGAAAATAAATTCAAAGCGCTTTATATATCCATTAATTAATTTTCATTTCTTTTATTTCCTAATGAATATTTTGTAATCCAATTATTTGAATCACATTAATCTTAGTCAACTTTTAATTTTTATTATTCACAATATTAGCCTTATTTAAATTTATTTATTTATTTAGTTTATATTTGTATTTACCAATAGTTCCATTTGTTACTGTGTTAAATATTCCACTTACGCCAAACAAAATAATTAAAAACATCAAACAAAATTTTATATAAGTAAAAAATAAAGGAAAACCACTACCTAAAATGATAATTAAGTTAAATCGCACCATAAACTAAGTCTTATATTTTCTACTCTTCTGCTACAACATTTACAATATGAAATTTAAGAATTTTCTGAGTTATCTTCTTTTCCAATAATAGAAGCTTACTTAATCAATATTTTTTTATAAAAATAATAAAATCGATATATATTACGCTATGTTATTTTGCTTATTTAAAGTCTGCAGGTATTTAATCAGGATCATAAGTAGATTCGGTTTCAGAATCTTTCTTTTATATTTATTAATTTTTAATACTTTCGTATTATTAATTTTATTATTGTTTTTTATTTGTTGTTATAAAAACATTTATTATACTTTCATTATTTTATTTGTTTATGTTTACTTTAGGCGAATTATTTGTTATTGGTCTTTTTTAATTTTTTGAAGAACTCGTCGCATTTGTTATAAGATTTTTTTATTTTTGATTATTTTATTCATCATTTAAGTTTTTTTGCTCGATTTCTTGTATAAGGTCTTCTATTTTCAATATTTCATCATTTTGATTTTATTTTTATATTACAAGAGCACCAATATTCTTTTTTTTTATTAAAACTACACTGTTTTTGTTTATATTTGGTTGCTTTTTATCAGCGCCTTTTTTTATTTTATTTAATTTAAAAATTTGATTAATAACAAATAACTATATAATAATTATTTTACCACTAATATTTATCTTTTTTGAAGCCATTTTTAGTATTATTTAAAATATCTTTCTTTAATTTTTTTTTCTTAGTTAATTATTTAACTTATTGTATTTTCATATAAAAAAATAAAAATGAATAAAATAATATAATAATATAATATTTTTTTTACATATTGACTTTTTATTTTTATTTTTAGTTTAATTTAGTATGAATATAAAGAAATAGAAAAAATGGAATTAACCTTTATTTTGTTCAATTGATTTTTTTAAAAAAATACAGAAACAAAAAAAAAATAAGAAAAATTATAGTTAATACATTAATAAAACTAAAATATTAAAGTTTCATTTAATAAAAAAAAAAATAAAAGTAAAAATTAAATATAATGATAAAATTTTAAATTAAATAGTTTCGAAAATTTAAAGGTTTTAATTTATGTTCTATAAATAAAGTATTTTATTTTCAAAGATTAATTAATAATTTATATTATACTAATGAATAAAAAATTATTCATGGAAACAAATTCAAAAAAAAAAGATTATTTGACGTTTTGCAATAAATACTATATATATTTTTATTAATTAAAATAATATAAACAAAACATAAAAAAAAATTATTAAATTAAATTGATATAAAAGTTGATCAAACATGATAATAGATAAAAGTTTATTTGTATATAATTTATTTTATTTTTGATATTTTATTTTATTATATATATATATATATATATATATATATTTAATTTAACCTAAATATAAAATTATCCTAGATAATTATTACTAATATAAAGTTAATTATTCAATTCATATTTATTATTATGTAGAGTATTATGAATATATTTTAAATAATAGTTTAGATTTAATATTTTAACAATAATATAAATATTTATTTATTTTATTACTAGATTATACAGTTTTTTTTATATTTTTAATTTATAATTATTCCAGATATTTAAATTACAATACATAATAAGGAAAAATTTTAATACAATTAACTAAACTAATATATAATATAATTTAATATTTATCTAAATAGTTTTTAGAATTTTTAATTGATTAATAATTTGAAATATTATATTTTTAATATTTATGTTTTAAATAAAAAAATTTATATTAATTTACATTTATAATTATATATAAATTTATATTTATATATCCACAGTTTTTAAATATTTCAATCTTAATCAATTTAATTAATACAAGCTTTAAGACAACTTATTGTATTTAATAAAAAGTCATGACTTAATTTACTTCTTGTCGACATTTCAGAATTACTTAAATGACCACTAAAACTTTTATTAAAAAAATAATAATTATAAAATAAATTAAAAGTATTTATATTTGCTTTTTACTTTATTGAAGGTAATTTTTGCTTATTTTATGCATATATCTTATAAGGATCTTAGAAATATTAAGGTTTATTTTACTTTTTATTTTTTAAATTACTATTAACTTATTTGTTTCTTGTTGATTCTCTTCCAGAAAGAAACTAATTTTTAGTTTATTTATTAATTTTCAAATTAATTTTATATTAATTATAGCCTTATAATGAATTCCCTTATTAATTACTAATTGTTCGATTATTTTATATTTCTTCAGTTAAATTTTATTGTAAAAGTTATTATTACTCTTTAGTTTATTAAAATTCATTTGAATCTTTTTCATTTTGTTTTTAATTTCCATTTGGTAAAGAGCGATATTATTGATCTAATTTTTGTTTAAAAAAAACACTTTTTTATTAAAATTATTATTCAATTTATTATTTTTATTATTTTTATTAGAAAATGAAGGTTATTAATAATTAATTGAGGATTTACTTGTTTGAGATTCACTATTATAAGCTAAGTTTTTCTATAAATTAAAAATTTAATAAACATCGCCTTTTTTTTAATTGTTTTTATAATATTCTCCAAATGCCTTTTTTTTTTTCTTAGAAGTTTCGTTTTTCAATATTTCTTGATTCTTCCTGACATTTCTTATAAGATTAGATTCTATAATGCATTTGGTATAATCCAAATAGCAGGATTCACACACTTTTGTTTTCAAACTTAGCCAACTTTAGTTTTGTTTGATTTTTTAATAGTTTTATTGATTAAAATTTCCCCATACTTTAACAATTAATGCTGGCATTATATTAAGGTTAATTTCGTTTTTTTAATGTTCTTAGTCAAGATATTTAAGTAAATCATTTAATTCTTGTTCTTTATTCATATACCTTTCAGTAATAGATTAATTATTAGTATTTATGGAAATTCGTTTGCTTTCATTCTATTTTTTTTCAAGATTTTCTCTTCTTCTTGCTATTTTCTCTTTGCTTTATTCTATTAAATTAATTATGTCTTATGGTAAAATAGTTTTTTCATTTCCAACAGCTTATTATTCATAAGTATTTATAATTTAAGAAAATTAAATTTCGTATAATTAATTAGTATGTAATTCACAATTTGAACAGTTTTTTCAAAATTATTCTATAAATTTATAACATGACCATTTTAGATATTCATTAAGGTTCCCATTATATTATGTGCTTTGTAATTGTTTTTTAAAGTTTAAATATTGGAGATAGCATTCTAGGTATTTATTAGGTATTTGTATTTAATTCTTTGTATTCTTAAAAACGTTCTCTTACCTTCAAACCAGTACAAAAAAGAAGCCAAAGTCTATTTTTGTCATCCAATTTAAAATATAATACCATTCTTGATATTTATATGTTTCCTCCACTTATGTCTTATATATGTTTTACTATATTTACACATATTTGTTCTAAGTCTGCTGATAATATTGGGGATGTTATACTATCTTATATTGCTAAATATTCAGGACCTTCGAATGTACATAAACGTTCATTCATAGGTACCTTTGTATTATCTAATTTATTAATGTTTGTTTTTCTATATAATAAACAAAATTATGGGGACCAGGATATTTTTATTAATGAATTTACACCACCTTTTGGCTATATAAATTTCTAAAGAATTGCATTTAAGTTTTTCTCTCGCTAATGAATAAATATATTAAATTAATCTTCATTAAAATATTCAAACTATATAACTTCTTATTCTGAATCTTATTTTTATATTTTTTTATTTTTTCATATTTTTTTTATTTACTTTCTGGAAAATTCGTCATTTAATCGTTTATATTATTTTTTTATAAACATTGCTAATTATGATTTTAAGAAACTAAATATTATGCTACTATTCCAGATTAAGGAACATTATATATGAATATATCTTATGCTTTTTATATATCTATACGTTCTTTTGTTTTTCGTATTATTTAACCTTCTCGATTGGTAAAGTACCAAAAATATGGTTATGCCCATCTATATATTATTGTATCAACTAAAAATACTCCAGGGCAACTTGCACCTGTTTGACTATTTTTTTTCCATAAATGAAAATATAGCCATTCTGTTGATGTTGATAATTTCATTATATTTTAATTTTTTTAATTTGATGAATTTTTTTGATTTGATAGTTTTTTTTAAAATAAAATAAAAATTATTAAATATATAATCTAATTCTTGACACAGTAAATTAAATCTCTATCAACTCAAAATGGGAATTGAAAACATTTATTATAGTTAGTTTTTTAAAAATATACTAAATGCCTTTGATCTATTTATAAAAAGATTTGGAATAAAATTATTTATAAAAATTCTTATTATACTAATATATATTTTTCATTTTAAATTTAATATTTATAATTCATTTTTATTTAAATTATGTTTATAAAAAGAATTAATTTATTTTTTAATGATTGATAGGACCAGTTCTCTTCACATTTTTTGTTTCGCCTTAAAGGCCATATGATTATTTCAATTAAACAAAAAAAGAGCAGGTATAAAATAATTGGAATTTACAAATTATATATTTTTATATACAAATATTAAATTATCTTTTTTTTATTTTAATATTGGTATTTTAATTAGAAATTATATTTTTTAATAAATTTATTAATATATTTATTATTTAATATTTATTAAAACTAAATTTTATTTATTTTTATTATATTATTAAATTATATTTAATTATATTTTTTAATTTAAAATTTTATAATTCCAAACTTCCTTAAATATAAATATTAATTAAAATATTGTAAAACTAAATTTTTTAGTTTTCCTTTTTAAAATATTAATACATTATATTTTTTCTGATATTTAAATATATAAAATTAATAAAAATGATAGAGTATTATTTTTATTTAAATATTAAAATAAAAAAAATAGACTTTGTAATATTTATATTTTGTTAGAAACTTTATAGTTTTAATTATAAAATATATTATTTTTTTATATTAATTATTTTATTTTTCTGTAGTTTTTTTTTTAAAAAAAAATTCAATAATCAGAAAAAATGGATAATGTCCCTCTTATTATTTATTGAGATTTTTTTTAAAAAAAATAAATAAAAATATATATATTACCAAGTATATTATTTTTAAAAAAACAATTAAAATATATTAAAAATTTTATTTAATTTTTTAATAAAGCATGCTAAAATAAATGTAAAATTTAGATAAAGACCAAATAATTAATAACTAAGATTGCTACATACAAAATGAATATTAAAATAAAATAAAATAGGATATCCACAATAATGAATAAAAATGTATATGAAAACTAATTATTACATTATTTATATTTAACAAAAAATTTAAATTATTATTTATTAAGTTTACGATTAATATAAGAAATAAATATTAGATAAATAATAAATCAAAATTTAAGTAAAAAAATGTTTTAAATAAAGATTTTAATATATAATTTTTTTTCTAAAAAAATATATTTAAAGAATGAAATCAAGTTAATATAAAAAAGGATTATATAAGATCATAAATATGATCCTATAATTACTGGTATCTTTTTCTTAGAATAACCAATTAAAAATGGTTTGACTTTTTATTTCGATAAACTTTTTTAAAATAAGTAATAAGTATTATAATATCTAAATAGTGAATATAAAATACTAATAAACTCTTAAACAAACACAAGAGTAGAATCTGAAATAAAAAAATTAAAACTTATAATAGATAGTCTTGAAAATGACATAATTTTTCTTTAGCCTTTAAATAGTTTATATTACAGTTTCAAAATAGATTTATAAGAAAAAGATACAAGAAAATATCCAAATAATGAATTTTATTTTCATGTAGATTTTGTTTTTAATTTACCAATAAACGTGGAAAAAATAAGAATAAAGTATGGTTTTTTTCATAAAAATGAAAAACCCTTATCAAATAGATCTACTAATGAGCATTATATAGATTTTTTTGAAAACAAAGGTATCAAAAAATACATATCAAATAATAAAAATAATAAAGGCTTTATTAAAGAATAAGAACATATTAAATTTAATGAAAAATTTAATGATATTTTTATTTATTTTTAATTAGTTATTTTTTTTAAATAATAAAGACTACCTGAAAGTGGTGGTTGGACCATGCATTAAATATATAATAATAAAAACGAATTAGAAACAGGATAGTTTATAGCACCTTTTTACGATGATAGACTCAAATATAGTTATTTATTTGAGAATTATTAAGAAAATTTAAATTAAAGTAAATTGTGTTTTAGTATTATACCATTCCTGGAAGAAAACAGTAATTTGATTTTATAAAATGATTATTACTAAATTAATAATTACAATTTTGGATGCTTACACGTAAAAGAATAAATAAATATATAAGATAAAAAAAAAAAATTATTAAAATAATAATAAATAAAAACTAATGATTATTCAACATTAAATAAATTTTATGATGAAATTTTCGACGAAAAGCCTAAACCTTTTTTATTAGAGTATTTTGTTTTTTATTATTAAATATAATAAATATAAAAAATATTAGTATTAAAAATGGAGAAATATAAAATAAATATATTTAAGCCAAATTATTTTCAAATTGCAAACTTTAAGAAATTTAAGAATAAGTATGAAAATAAAATTTTTAATATAAAATATTCACTTTTATAATTTAATAAATCTATAACTTTTATATATTAATCATTTTTTAATACTTTAATCAATTTGTTTATTATTTATAATATTGATAATAATTTTATTTATATATATATTCTTCACATTATCATTTAGTTTTAAATGCAATTTAATTTATTAGTTATCTTAATTTTGATAGTTTATTCTTTCGATATTTTTAGTTTGATAAAATTTTGTTCATTATATAATTTTTTACCTAAATTTTATGTAAATTACTTCTAGTTTAGAGATATTTTAATCAGTTTGTTTATCAATTATTTAATATAAAAATTCCTTTTTTTAATTGCATTTATATATTTTTTAAGCTATATTAATTTGATTATATATGACAATCCCAACAATATTTTTATAAATATTAATTTTTGGAATAGTTATAAAAAGGTTATAATCTTTTACTCAATTTTATATTACTTTCAGGGTTTCAACAATAAAAATTAACATATTAATTTAATATTTCTTTCCTAATTATTAATGAATTTAAGAATAAAACTAATAATAAAAGCTCAAATATTTTTTCATTAACAGATAAGTTGATACAAATTTATTAAGAATTTATTTATTTTTCTTTTTTATATTTAAATAATATATTTATTAAATATTAAAACATAATTCTAAATAATTTTCTATTATTAACTTATATTGAAAAAGATTAATAATATTAAAATTACTATTAAATCTCTGTTTATTAATGTTTTATTTTTAGCATTTAAAAATTTATTTTTTTAATTATAAATAAACATAAAATAAAAAAGTAAAGAAATTTAAATAAATAAAATAATATTAAAAATAATAGAAAATAAATAAAAATCTTATATTTGTATAAGATTAAAATTAAATTATTAATATATAATATTAAAAATTAAATATTTCATGTTTTATTGTTTTAAAAGATAATATAATTTTAAATATAAATTATATTAAAATAATAAATGTACTCGAAAATTGAAAAAAATAAATAATTTATTATATATTTATTAAAATTAATAATTAACATAGTTAAAAAAATCATTTATATATGCAGAAAAAAAAATTATGAAAAAATAATAAAAAAGGTAAAAATTATTATTAAGAAAGTAAATATAAAATGTATTTATATATTTTAAAAAAATTTAATATAAATTAATTTAAATAAAAAATATAAATATATTATTTTTATTATTATATAAAAAAATGTTTTTTAAAATATATAATTAGATTGTTTAAAATATATATATATATTTATATATATATAATATATTTATATTATTTTATTTTTATTTTTTTCATATTTATTTTATAATTGTTAATACACTTTTTATAAATAATTTTATACAAATTAATATATTAATTTGAAAATATATCAATATATACAACTATAAACTTATAATTATTTTTAGCTTTAAAAATATTTTTTTGATTTTGTATATTAAAGAAATTTTTTTTTTTCTTCTTTTCTTTATTATTTACATATTTATACATCAAATATATTAATATTTTATTTTTTATTACCAAAGATATATCTAGATAATTTTTTATTAGGTTTTTTATAAATTTGATAATTTTTTTTTTTATTTATATAAAAATATCAATTTTATCTAATTTATTATCTTATTAATTTTAATATTATATCTTTTATAATTGTAATATATTTGCCCTTTATTATTATATTTATTATACCTTTGAAATATTATTTTTTATTTTCTTATTTTTAGTAAACATTAGTTTTATCTACTTTATCAAATCAAGTATATTAAAAATGAAAAAAGATAATAATTTAAGCAAATTATTTTTCTTGTTTCTATAGAAACTTACTTATTTATGTTTTTAAATAATATAAAATTCATATTACAGATAAAAATATTTTAAATATCTTAATAAAAAAAGATTTATTAAAATAAAGTAAGTATATATTAAGTCTTATAAGGTCTTGTTTCGTTCACTGATTTTTTTTAAAAAAATACAGAAAAAATAATAAATTAAAAAATAAAAATATGAAAAATATGAAAAAGTGGTATATAATCATTTTATTTTTTATCATATATGTTACTAAAATTGTTTTTGTATAGTATCAATTAAAAATAATTAAAAAAATATTAAAATGATTATAAATAAAAATAAATAAAAAATATTGTTTTTTCTTATCTATTTTAATATAAAATTAATTTTTCCTATATTTTCCAAACAATATTATTTTTTGGAACAGCCCATTTATTTTAAATTGTATTAAGATCATGAGATTTTGTTGAACATTTTAATAAATCATTTTTATTTTTTTAAATAAATTGATAGCTTTTAATAATTTATTATGTCTCTTGAATAAATATTCAATTAAATATAAAAAAAGTAAGGTAATTAATATTATGAAAAAAAAAAATGTAGAAAGGTGTAGAAAAGATTTAAATATGATATAAAGGGTAGAAAAAGGTATAAAAATATAAAAATTAATAGAAATATGAAGAAAGAAGTTAAAAATTTATAAATAATAAAAAAGAAGGATATAAAGGAGTATAATTTAGGTTTAAAAAAGTATTTGTAAATGTAAAAATTTAATATATATTATTATAAAAATATAAAAATAATAGAAATGTTTAGAAATTTATATTAATATAAAATATAAAATAAATTTACTCCAAATATAAAATTTTATAAAAAAATAAAAATATATCTTGTAAAATTATTTTTTTGTGGAAAACTAATATAATTGTAAAAAAGATATTTTAGTAAATAAATAATTTAAAATCTTAAAATTTAAAAAATTAATTAAAATAAAAATAAAAAAATAAAATAAAAATATGTTTTTGTATTATTTTTTTTATAAAATTAATAAATAATAAATAATAAATAATAAATGATAAAAAATAAATAATAAATAATAAATAATAAATAATATATAATAAATAATAAATAATAAATAATAAATATTATAAACAGATTTCTAGTTTTTTATTTATAATTTATTTTTTATTTTTAATAAACTTTAAATTTAAATTAATTTTTATGAAATAACTAAAAGTTTAATTTATTAATTAATTATTTTACAATAAATTTGATTATTTTAAGTTTTTTATAAATTCATATATATTCATATAAAATTATTATATGTTTCATATTTTATTTAAAATCTTTAATTAAAATATATAAAATATATATATTTTATCTAAATTAAGTTTAAAAATATTTTAATTATTTAAATATAATCTTTTTTTCATGTGAATATAAATTAAAAAAAAATTAAAAGGAATAAATATATTAAAATTTAAAGAAAAATAAAAAAATGTAAGTTGAAGCTCTAGTAAAATTAAAATATACAATAATCGGTGTATCCTTAACTATTTTATCGTAAACTGTATATAAATACTTAAAATATAAAAGCAAATAATTAAAAAATTATGAAACACCAGAAACAAATCAATAAGTAAATGTATAATCTTAAATTTTTCCTGTTTATGCATCTGAAGAGTATTAAAAGATAATAAAAGAATAATTGATAAGAAACATATAATTTTTCGGCGAAGAATCACAAAAAAAAATTTAAGAAAGTTATATTATAGTATTTGGGGTTGGTGGAGTAGGATCTCATTGTGTATCTTCATTAATTCGTTCAGGAGTATAAAAAATAAAAATAGTTGATTTTGATAGAGTAACTTTATCTTCATTAAACAGACACGCTTTTGCAACACAAGGAGATGTAGGCCATTCTAAAGTACAATGTATAAAGGATTATATTTAAAGGATAAGCCCTCATTGTGATGTAGAAATATTTGAAGAATATGTAACAAAAGAAAATGTGGCAAAGTTTTTTTCTGAATAAAAAAAGAAGATTATGTAGTCGATTGCATAGATAATATTGATGCTAAAGTTGCTCTTTTAGCTTATTGTAAGAATAATAATAAAAAAGTTATTTCTTCAATGGGTGCAGGAATGAAGTCAGATCCAACAAGGGTTTAAATAAGGGACATTTCAGAAACTACTTATGATGACCTTTCAAGGGCTGTAAGGATTAAGTTAAAAAAATTGGGGATTACTAATGGAATAAAAGTAGTACTTAGTGTTGAAAAAAGTTCGAAAGAATTACTTCCACTTTAAAGACATCAAGAAGATAAGCCTGATGAGTTCAAAGTTTTTTCAAATTATAGACTTAGAATAGTTCCTGTATTAGGTACTATGCCAGCTATATTTGGATTAGCATTAAGTTCTTATATTTTGTGTGATTTAGCAGGTTAGCTTTATTAGCCGTATTTAATTGATGATGTAAAATAAACTAATTATGCATAAATATATGATAAAATTCACTAAGAAGCAAAAAATAATAAAAAATAATTCCTTATGGATATTTCGGATGTGTATTTGGTCGTGAGGGAAGCTTTTTAATGGAAAGATCTTATTTAAGGAAAAAAGTAGGGAAACTTACTCTTAGCAAGATGGAACCCTGAAGGAGAATTTGAAGGGTAAAATTTAGTTTTAATGAATGCTGCGGATGTCAAAAAACATTTAACTTTCAAAAATTTTCAGGAAGTTAAAGAATATTATAACTAAGAGATTTTTAAAAGAGTTGAAGAAAAAAAATATATATATTTAGAATATTTATAAAAAAATAATATAGTCTATAAATGATTTTAGCTTTTATATTTTTCAAAAAAATATTATATATTATTATTTTAATATTATAAATAAATATATTATATTAATTAATTTAATATTTACAATAATCTATTAATTTTGATTATTATATAATATTAAAATTTATATTTGTTAAATTTTAATATAAAATGAAAAAAATTATTTTATTTGTGATTAAATTAAAACACATTTATTTTTATATACAATATTTTGGATAATTTTTGTTGTAAAAAAAATTAAAAAGTTTAATTTATGATTAATTGAAATTATATCAACAAATTTTTTTGATTTTTTAAGTTTTAGTAAAATTTTAATCATTTCCTAATTAAAAATGTATAATTAGTACAATTAATAATATTTTTCATTTTTATTAGTTAATTGGTTTATATATTTTCGTAAGATTAGTAATTATTTTTTTAAGATAAATTTTTAAAAATTGATGCATATTGATTTTATTTTATCCATTGAATAATACTCTTAAATTTAATAAAATTCATAATTGCAGGAAAGCTTACATTTTTATACACCTTTTAAAGAGCAAATTCTTTTTTTATGATCTATTTCATAAAAACTTTTAAATTCTTTAAAATATTCAGTAGTTATTTCATAAATATATGAAAAACTAAAAACGTTACATTTTTCAATTTTTTATTTTAATATAATATTTTTTTTTTCAAAAGGATGTTTTTTTATAATAGTTAATACAATATATGATTCCAAATTGTCAAAAATCATTTGAAAAGTTTAATTTTTTTACTTCTATTCTATATACTGAGGAGCAGTAACATTTTAAGAAATTTTTAATAATTTTTTGTCTTTTTTTTACTTTCTTCATGCATATAAAAATCATATTTTCAAAAATAAAAAGAATATTTAAAAAATTCAAATTTTTTTGATTAAAATTTTAGTAACTTCAAATTATTATGCTTAGTATTTACATAAATTTATTCATATTTTTTAATTGTTTTAATAATATATGACAATATAATTTAAAATATAAAACATACTTATATTAAAATAATTACATAAATATTATAAATAGAGTTAAATATTAATATTTTTTTAAAATTATTTTAAAATAATAATATTCCTATTTTTTTATTTTGTAAATTAATTATATTTGCATAATATTTTATTTATGTTAATATAATAAATAAAAATATCATTAATCTTGTTCTTATTTTCTGAGAAATATTTTTGACAATACAAAATAATTATTTTCTGATTCAAAATATTATTTTTTGATAAAATGAAAAAATTATTTTATAACTTTAAAAAATTTGAAAAAAAAAATCTTTGAATTTTACTCTTTTTAAAATATTTTACATTAATAAAATTTAAAAATGACATCATAAAAAGCAAAATTTTAAAATCAACATTAAAGAAAAATAAATTCATGCCAAAATGAAAATATTATAATTTGAATATACTTTTATTAGATATATATTTTACTTGTTCATAAAAATTTTAATTTTTTGTAATAATTTTTTAAAAAAATAATTGATAATAATAAAAATTGATAACGACATTATTTTATTATTGTTGAGTTTTTTTTAAAAAAAAAAATACAGATGAAAAATGCTAATAAAAAATTTATATTTATTAATTTAATTTAATAATTTAAGAGCTCAATTTTCCAGACATATCTAATACCAATTTTTTTCATTTTAAAAAAGTAATATTTAAATAGATATATAGATTATAAATATATTTAATATTAAAAATAAAAATAAAATCTTTTTATTATGAGGAGAATTTGTAAGCTTTAAATTTAGGTCGATTATAATATAATTTTATAAATAAAAGTATTATAATTAATTCGAAAACCTAAAATATTTATGCCTTTATTGTAAAAGATTTCGAATTATATAAAAAATAAGTTGAAAATAAGCTTTACATAATATTTTTATTTTTTTAAAAATAATATTGGTATATATTTAAATAAGTTAATTCTAAAAAAATTCTAAAATAAATAATAAAAATTAATATTGATTATTTAATATATATTTTTAAAAAAAATCAATGTTCACATTTCGTTTTAATTAGTTAAATTTTTTAAATGAAATCATATCCATTTTAATATATTTCATAATAATTCAAAGTTTCGAAATGTAAAACAAGTTTACTTAAATCTTCAACAATATCAAAAACATTAAAAGAACATTCTGCTTTTTTTAAAAAATCTTCATTGATTTCTAAATTAGGTATATGTAAACCAATATTACATTCTTTTAAGTAATCTCTTAAATCATTTAAAAACAAATAAACGTTTTTTATTATTTCTTCTTAACTTTTATTTTTATTTTTATTCTTCAATTCTCTTATTAAATAATAAGCATCTTTTGCCAATAAAGCAGCATTCTTTAAACAAGTAAATTTATTTCCTAATTCATTTTTTTAAAAAAGTAATATTCTTTATTTTTGACTATAACTTTCTGGACAACCATTAGCTAATTTTTAATAGACTTCATGTATTTCTGTGAAAATACTTTCGTATTAGATATCTTATGCTAAGGAGCTAATTTTTTAAAACAATTCTTTGAATTAGTTGATGTTTTTAAAACATTATTAGGCTTTAAGAATGTTAATATCTTTTAAAAAATCTAATTTATGTCCATATGAACAATCCTAATAGACAACAACAATTTCGTTATAAATTTTAATTCCTTCTTCAATCAATTCTTCAATCGATTTAAGATTTTATTAAACATCCTTAACAAATTAATAAGCATGCTTAAATATTTCTCCAATTTCAATTATGCATGAAACAGTATTAGCTTTCTATTAATTTTTTTTTTGAGGAAGATATTAGTTATTTTTAAAGAAAATTTTAATATTTTTTAAAGGCAAAGAAAGAGAAAAATGTTCCATTTTTTTTATTTTTTATAATTTTTTTTAAACTTCTTTTAAATCACATTCATATCTAACTTTTTAAATTTTTTAATATAATTAGGTTAAAAATTCTATTTTTTCGAAAATTTAGTTTAAATCACCATCTTTTATCAATTTCAAAATTTATTCAGATTCATCGTATATTTAATTAAGATCTTTTATACATCTTAGATGTTTATTCGGTTCTGTTTGCTTTATTATGTTAGAACTAAAGTTATTTATTAATTCTTATGTGTTTTTCTTAATTTTAGATTCTATGAAAGTTTTCCCGTCTTTATTTGGATTCGAATTTTCAATTTTTTATATTTTGCTTTAAAAAAGATTCTTCAAATTTTCAGCCTTTATTTCAAACTCTTTAGGAAACTCTATGTTCTCATTAATTTTTTCAAGTTTTTTTTAAATATAATTATAATCAAAGTAAAAACAATTAAAAAATGTTAAAAATGTAAAAAATAAAATAATAGTATTATTCATTTTTTTTTAATAAAAATTATAATTAATATATAATAATTATTATAATTTTAAATTTATTATTATTATTTCTTTAATTTTTATTTATAAAAGAATATTTTTATTTTCTTTCTATTTTATTCGCGTTAGTTAACATTTTTATTAAATAACATATATCTTTTAAATAAATATTAAAAATATTGATTTAATTTATTAATATATTATTAATAATTAATTATAATAAATATGTAAATATTTATATAATAAAAAATGGCTTATTTTAAACCTTATCATATTGACAGAATAGTGAAAAAATTAAGTAATTTTTAAAGAATCAAATACTTTTTTTAAAACTTAGAAAGAGATGTCTTAAAAATCAGAAAAATAATATTTTAAAATTTATTGACAGAACAATAATTAAAAAAAAATAAAAATTATTTTTATAAAAAAAACATAAATAATTTATAATAAAAGTATTTTATCAAATAGCAATATTTTGCTATTAATACCTTCGTTGAATATTTTAAAATTTTTAAACTAAATATATACTAAAAAATTATATATTATTATTAAATTATAGTAGAAAAGAAAATATAAAGTAGAAAATTAATAATAATTTATAATAAAAATATAAATACAAATATTTAATATATTATATTAGAAAAATTATAAAATTTGTTATTTTAACATTTATGCAAAATAAAATAATTATAAATATAAAGCTTGTTTTTTAATATAAGGATTTTCTTATATTTATTATAGTCAGTAATGTTAAAAGTTTTCGACTGACAGTTGTACCAAAAACACTTTCAGCACGGTCGTCCATTCATACAATTTTTTATATCGATTCACTCCATCCAAAATGTGAAAAACTTATTGACGGAATTAACAATCATTTAATATTTATAATTAAAATAAAAAAATTACTTAGATACAAAAGTTAAATGTAAAAAAAAACTCATAGAATATAAATAATATATATATTTATCTTTAAAATTTTGTTTCAATTTTTAAAAATTTTGAAGTTCTTTCTTTAAAAATTGCTTTTTATTTTTATTATTTTATTATTTAGAATATATTTATTAAAAAATATTTTATATATTAATTTTTTTATTTGTCATTGAATTTATTTGTTTTCTATATTTATTTATATTATTATCAAAATTTAGATTTTTATAATATTTTTACTAAATGCTTATTATTTTAAATTTTTTTTATATTTTGATCTGTTAATTTATGTAAATTTTAACTTGATTTTGAATTCGAAATATAATATTCAGACGGGCTTCGAAAATAACTAGAAGAGTGCTTTAAAAATGACTATAGTTTCTTATATAAATTTAAATATAAATAAAAATATAATCAGTTATGAATTTATGCATTTAATTATCTTTTTGAAGCTCATTTGAAATTTTTTTCTATCTTGATTTTAAATTTGCACTGTATCTTCTTTTAATTTGCAATTAAAATTAAAATAGGATTTTTTTAAATTAGTTTTTTTTTTTTTTTTTCAAAAAATATAAATAAAATGAGTCTAAAAAAAAATGTCTTTTTTAATCACATTAATCCACTATGTTATATAAAATTATATGTTATTTTAATTAACTTTATGTTGAAAATAAAATATTTTACTATTAATTGCAGTTTGCTTAAAAAAATATTTTTAATTATTATTTGCGACCAATAATCCCTTATCCTACAATTATATATTTGTCTACAGTTTAGGGTTCACTAGTTCTATGTAAGTTTTGCCCTGCGAGCAAGATCTAAAATCAATGTTTAAAAAGTCAATTAAGTCTAGAGAAAAATTAAATTTAATACATAAAAAAAATATTGATAAATGAAATATATTTTATTATATATTAAAAATTAAAAAAAAAGTAATAAATAAAAAATAAAAGATATCTACACAGATATTCTAGATATTTAATAATTTAATAAATTATATTTTTTTTAATTAAATGAAAAATAATAAAATTAATATAAATATGTTACCAAAATAAATTATAAAAAAAAATATAATTGTTTAAATATTATATTAAATAGAAATAAATATAAAATAATGATGCTTATATAAAAAAAATATTAAATAAAAAAATTAAAGTTTATAATAATTTCATAATTAAAAATAAAAAAATTTAATAAAATAAAAAAAATAATAAAAG